TTACAATGAGAATACCACTTCACACCCATTAGAATGGTTAAAATTAAAAAGAATGAACATCCAATGCTGATAAGGATGAAAAACAAGTGGAACTCTCATACATTGCTGGTGGGACTATACAATAGTGCTACTACTTTGGAAAACTATTTATCGGTTTCTTTTTTTTGAGATAAGGTCTCTCACTCTGTTGCCCAAGCTGGAGTGCTGTGGCATGATCACAGCTCACTACAGCCTCGACCCTCTCGGCTCAAGCAATCCTCCCACCTCAGCCTTCTGAGTAACCAGGGCTACAGGCACGTACCACCACACCTGGCTAATTTTTTTTTTTAAGAGATGGGAGTCTTGCCATGTTGTCCAGGCTGGTCTCATACTCCTGGGCCCAAGCAGTTTCCCCGCCTCAGCCTCTCAAAGTGCTGGGATTATAGGCATGAGCCACCACACCCAGCCAACAGTTGCTTATAAAGTTAAATGTACATCTCCTTTATGACCAAGCAACTCTATTCCTACGTATTTACCCAAGAGAAATGAAAACATATGTCTGCAAAACACTTGTACAAGAATGTTTCTAGCAGCTTTATTCATAGTCGTCAAAAACTGGAAACAACCCGAATGTCCATCAACAGAATAGATAAAGTATTCAATTGAATACTTCTTAGTATTAAAAAGGAACAAAATAGGCTGGGCGCGGTGGCTCACGCCTGTAATCCCAGCACTTTGGGAGGCCGAGGCGGGCGGATCACAAGGTCAGGAGATCGAGACCACGGTGAAACCCCGTCTCTACTAAAAATACAGAAAATTAGCCGGGCGCGGTGGCGGGCGCCTGTAGTCCCAGCTACTCAGGAGGCTGAGGCAGGAGAATGGCATGAACCCAGGAGGCGGAGCTTGCAGTGAGCCGAGATCGCGCCACTGCACTCCAGCCCGGGCGACAGAGCGAGACTCCGTCTCAAAAAATAAAAATAAATAAAATAAAAAAATAAAAAGGAACGAAATAATAGTACACTCAGTGTAGAAGAGTCTCAGAAACATGTTAAGCAAAAGAAGCAAGTGTCTGCAGTGACAGAAATCAGAACAGTGGTTTCCTATTGAGGACTGACTGGAGGGGAACCTAACAGAAATTTCCGGAATGATAGAAATGTTCTGTATTTTGATCACAGTGTTGCTTACATGAGTACATATAGCTGTCAAAACTTATCAAAGTTTATAGTTAAGATCTTTGTAATTCACTATATATAAAGTTTATTGCAATAATTTAAAAAATAGAGTTATTTTTTAAAGGTAGTTGGAGTTTTTTCAATGGAAAACACTTTCAGTTTAGAGTCAGAAGCTAGATTTCAAATTATGTATTTTCTTTGAAAAATGAGTCAATATTTTTCACAGTACTTTAAAGTTCCACAAGTACAGTGATTAAAATACATACACACACGCACACCCACATGCTCATGTGAAACGAACGAAAAAGTTTTGAAGTTTCTCAGTACACTTTTGCTTTAGCTGCCAATATGAAATGAAAGGAGACACAAATTGTTTTGTTTTGTTTTGTTTTGTTGGAACAGGGTCTCACTCTTGTCACCCAGGCTGGAGTACAGTGACAAGATTATAGCTCACAGCAGCCTTGACCTCTTGAGCCCAAGCAATCCTCCTGCCTGAGTAACTAGGACTACAGAAGTGCACCATCATACTTGGCTAATTTTTTTCTATTTTTTGTAAAGATAGTGTCTCACGATGTTGCCCAGGCTGGTCTGGAACTCCTGGACTCAAGCCATCCTCCCACCTCAGCCTCCCAAAGTGTTGGGATTACAGATGTGAGCCACCAGGCTCAGCTGAGACACTAATTTGTTACCACACTGAAGGAAAGATAACTCGGATATTATGTAAAGCTTTTCAGAACAAAGATATTGTCTGATATGAGTCTTCTTTTTCACTTTCAACAATTCCAATATATACCAGTAAAAGAATCTCATGCGCCAGGATTCAGTTCTGACTTCAGTACTAGCTAGTATCTCTTCTCTTGCAGTCTCTGTAATTCTTATTTCTCTCAGGCACCTAGGTAGTCTTACAATGAAACTACTAAGGAAGAAAGTTCACATATTTGTTAGGAACACATGTAAGTAGAGGCAGTGGGGAATCCCTGGTGAATGTGTATTTACAAGGGTTTAAAAATAAGGATTTTAAAGGGCTTGGGAAACCTTTTTAGTGACTTGTCACCTAGAGCAGTGGCTCCTAAGCACCAGTCAATTTAAAGTTTTTAGTTAGTCCATGACAGAATACAAAAATAGCAACAACTCAGAATTTGTATGGATGTAGATATAATGTAGTTTTCCATATGTATGTATGTAAAGATTAGATAATGTCCCTCCTACTTTTTTAATGTTAACATCCCTTTTATTCTATGAAATAGTGGTGATCGTGGATGGTAATTATATTTTACATGTTCTTACATGGCAAAATATGAAGCAGCAATCGTTTGTTAGTCGCAAATTTATTTTTTTTTGTAGATTTTTTTTAAGCTACTTATTTAAAGTACTACTCTAAATATCTACAGAAATTTGAATAAGTGAACATACTGAGGCATTCTTGTAGGCTGGTTGCGTTTGAAAGTCCAAATCTAAAGACCATTAATATCTCACCTCTTAAATTTATAATTGAGAAACCTTATCATTTAGCAAAGGAAAATTAATTATTTTAGGAACAGTTCTCATTGTTTTACAGTATTAGTAGCATTAGGAAATTACTTGCATTTATTGTTCTGAATCCTAAAAATTATGATATCCTTAGATAAATATCACCTCCTTACTTCCTAAATGATGAAATTTTTTTGACACCTACATTAGTAGGTGACTTGTAAGTAATTCCTTCGAAAGCAGGGGGAAATCTCAAAAAAAAAAAAAAAACAGAATTTAGAATAAAATTAACTTTATTAAGGGGGAAGGCAAGTACCCCCTTTTAAAAAGAAAAAATGATATATTATCTGCTTTACTCACAGGCTTAATCTACTAAGAATTTATGCAAATAAAAATGTAATTTTATTAACAAATGAATTATTCATTCATTAAAGTGTCTGGACCATAATTTAGTATACATTACTGATCTTCATACTTGAGAATGTGTTTGCAATGATTTCCCAAAGAAAATCTCAACAAATGCATTATCATCAGCTGATTTCTCTACTGGAAGATCATGACTTTCTTATGAAAGAACCTGGTTGAAGTTATTAAAGGAGGTGTAATTGAAGGGCGGGGACAGTGGTGTGCTGGTAAATTTTTAACAGCCACCTGGGAGAGGAGGGCTGATTTGTAATATTTGCCAATTTTTATTATGTAAATATTCCCACCATAGACAATTCCAAGCTACCAGCTGTTTAACAATCAGAGCTTGAAAATATTGCAGTGGGCGCTCCTGAACCAGTACAGGGATAGATAGCTCCAGCACAGTGAGTGATACTAGCTGATGGTGCTTAGCCAGGCAGAATGCAACTAGAAAATTCCTCTATGGAAATTAAAGGCACAGTTAAGCTTAAGGGGGCCAGAGCCTTCAAAATCAAGAACATAACACGCCCCCAGTTGTTTGGGTAAATCCCAGTTAGTTCCAAGCAACTCCTCTTTCTTCCTTAATACTTTGCACTCCCTGAAGGAATTTCATGTTTTCTTGGTGCTTCATCATCCAGAATACCATTCCATTAGTAACGATTGTTAATAGAGCTGGAATCCATAGTTCATTTCACGCCCTAAAAACTTGACAGATGGAAGTAATTGTTAAAACTCTTCATAATTTGAGAACTGACTTGCAGTATTTTGGATATTGAAATTAAATCTCTTTTACAAAGTTTATGCTTTAGGAGAAAAATAATAAGGGCTTATTAATCATTGCAAAAGATCTGTATAGTTTCAAATATGGAAACAAAGTAGCATGTTCAGTTTCAGTTGGTCTTGACTTTCACAGGCAGGAAGAGCCGATTTTGTACACAAGTCCATAGACATTTTCTTCTGTCCTCAGCTTCATCTTCTTTTTGCTCCTCAGATAAAACCTGTTTCTCACTCCAGGTATCTGATGACTGCTTGCCCTCTTCCCTCTGCTTTCCCTCTTTCAGAGCCTGTGAGATCCTGCTAACCAATAACTTTTACTTGTTGTTCACAATTCACTTAGACTAAAATGTTCTTTCAGTGTGGAAATTTTTGAATCTATTGACTGTTCAACCAAGAATCAATAAACATTTAGCTAGTGCAAAAGCCTGAAATCTTACCAAGCTGCTTTGTCAGCCTAGCCTTAAAGTTAAACTGATTTTGTCAGTGCAGGATCATGTGGAGTCCAAGAGAGAACTGGACACAAACATAGCTGATGTTTGTCTTTCCCACTTGAGTCCTCCACCTTTTGGAAGATCACGCAAGGGACTGGTCTCATTGCGGCTGTGTTAGGTATAGTCTAGGAAGCTGGTAGGGTGTTGGGATCTAGCCCACCTGGTTCAGCTCTATTGCCTGGGATTCCTTTCCTTTGTTACTCTGTCTCTTCCTTCCCACTACACATTTACATTCACATACAGTCCTATATACTGCTTTAGACTTTACAGAAACCTTTTGGGGACATTCCCAAAAGAACATATGATACTATTCCCTTTAATGCTATCAGATAGGAAAAAAAAAAAGAAAAACAGAACACATTTTACTCAGCTTTTTCATGTGTAAGAGAAAAATGACTTCCCATGTGCAAATTTTCTTAACTCCAATACTCAGGCTGCCTTACAAGTATTAATATGGAGATTTCTGAAAATAATGATATATATACTCGTATGTGACAAAAGCCTTCACACCTGATTAAGAGCAAAATGAATTTACGAAGTGAATTTTTCCATGCCTGTAGAATAAATTATGTACCCTGAGCATTCACTAAACACATGACAAGCCTTTTCTAATATTTTGTTCCAAAGAAATATGTGATCAAAGATCCAATAAGAACTCATTTATCCGCTTGGTAATTATTAAGTAATTTGTTTCTTTCTATCTCAGAGAGAAAAATCCCAGATGAAGATTTCATCATTTTAATTGATGGATTAAATGAAGCAGAATTTCACAAACCGGATTATGGGGATACAATTGTATCGTTTCTGAGTAAAATGATCGGAAAGTTTCCTTCTTGGCTCAAACTAATTGTAACAGTTAGGACCAGTTTACAGGTATGTGTTTGTTTGCTTTTAAACTGTAAATGATTCCTCTTGGAAAGAGCTTAGACTGAAAAAGTTCTAGGTCCTAGCTTCCTAAACCTCTACTATGTCCTAGAGCATTAGGAAGAATAATTCCCAGAGAATTAGTCTAATATTTTGAGAGATATGATCTAGAAAGAACATTCTTTGTACATTACTCTCAGATTCCCATTCCTATTGCTCTGGATGAGGTTTGGTAAAATGTTCCTCAAAATAGCATGAAAAGAAAGTCAATTTTTCTAGACTGTTCTGAGGACAGCGGTGTAAAGATGATCTCTAACACTTGGACTTTCATTTAACATTTTTTAATCATTTAATGCTATGCAAAATTCAGTTCAGTCTACACCCTAGAATCAGATCTTCTGGTTCCTCCCTCTGCTTCTACTTAAACAACTCTTCTATAGCATGAATATGGACTTTCTTCTGTATCTGTCCTCCTCTATCAAAAATTGGCAATATCAGGGCTTTAGATTAAATTTACTACAAATGAGAGATAAGTTGTTTTTTTTTCTAATTACTTTCCCTGCTCACTCACTGGTCACTTAATGGCCTGGAAGAAGGACCAGGAATGTGAGAGTGAGCCTGTAGAAATATATGGGCTAAAGATAAATGACTCTACTTTCCCCAGCATTCTCCTTGTAGCTGAGTTGGTGTCCCATTCTTTACATATTCACACTTGGTTTGGAACAATGTTTCTCATTCTTTTTATAAAAATTATTTCCTTCTCTGATGAATATTAAAATCTCAAACATTATACACTCATCTCACTATTTGGATGCAGCCCCCATGTCATAAGCACTAAGGTACAGAAAATAGACTGTACATTTAAGTCCCTCCTTTCCCCCTCTGCCAGGCGCTTAGCATTATTTCTATATATTGACCAATTAGCATTACTGTCTTCCATGATGAGAAACTGTATTTCTAATCTTGGCCACCACCTTACAGATATTTATTATTAATCTCAAAGTAATTTGAGCTAAAGGATATGGATAAATCAGTATAAATCCATCTTTACAACTGAAAATTATATAACCTATCATTATTAGTAGCTTGATGGTTAAAAATGAAAAATGAACGAAAGAAACCTCCAGGAATGTAATCTCTGACTGCTTTACCAAATGGATGCTTTGGAGATGTTATCCTCATACATAATTCTCACATAATATCATGGGCAGTCTCAAGAGAAATTGTGTTTCCGGGTAGAGTAGGTGACTTTAATTTTTCAGCTGTGCCAACAGAAAAAGTACTTCAACTAAGAATTTTTTTAAATTATTTCTTTTCTGATAGTGAAAGAATGTATAGGTTTTAGAAAATGAACCTTCATTTATATTTGATCATCATTATTTCCACAAACATTTCTTAAGTACTTAAGAGTATTTCAGGGACTATTCTGGGGGCTGGAGATTGAAAATGAACAAGACAGGCAATATTCCCATCCTAAAGCTTATATTTTAGTAAGAAACACAAAAAACAAACGAGCAAAAAATTAAACGTATACTAAAATTACAGGTAGTGTTAAGTGCTATGAAGAAAAACAAAATAGGATGGAGGGATAACTGGATAGTACTTGTTTTAGATAGAGTATATAGGAAAGGCCTCTCCTTTAAAAGTGATGAGATCTGATCTGCCTTTTTTAAAGATTTCTGTCAACTGGCTGTCTACATAATAAAATGTAAGGGATAAAGAGTTGAAGCAGAAGTATAGGTAAAAGGTAATGGTGGCTTAGACTAGAGTGGTAATGGTGGGGCCCATATGAAATGGTCATATTTCAATGGACTGTATTTTGAAGGAGAGTCAAAGGACTTGATGATGGGCTGAATGTGGGTGTCAACAAGAGAGACGACTCAAGAATGAATCCTGGGTGTGTTGTGAGCAAATGATGATTTGAGGACAATAAAAAGATCACAGATATCTTCTAGACTTTGGTGGTAGGGTCAGTGGTAATGCCGTTTATTGACATGGGGTGAGTTTTGTGGCTGGAGACAAAATTAAATTCTGATTTGGTCACATTGTCTATGAAATACCCAAATGTAAATGTTGAGTAGACAGATACAAGATGGGACTCAGGGGAGATAACTAAGCTAGAAACATAAAGTTAGGCATGTGCCACATATAGATGGTATTTAGCACCACGGGACTCAAGAATCTATTGATGGGAGTGAGAATGGCTAGAGAAGAGGAAAGAACAGAGCCTAGAGGCCGGGGTGAGCTGGGAAATAAAAAAGGAGCCAGCAAAAAAGGGAGGGTAAAAGTGGCCAGTGTGCTGAGAGAGAAAAGAGGGAAACATTCTCTGGGAGCAAGCTGCAGAAAGTGACTCCAGAAAAAGTGCATCACGGTGAGATCTGTTGTGTCAAACATTGCTGAGAGGTTGAGGAAGATGAGAACTGAAACTCTATTACTGGATTTGGCAAATCGAAAGTTACTGATGCCCTTGACATGAACCATTTCAGTGAGGTGGTGGGGGTGTAGCCTGATTGGAACAAATGGAGGAGAGAATGGGAAGGAAAGAATTATAAATAGCAAATAGAGAAAACTTTTGCGAAAAGTGGGAACAGAGATACAGGGTGGTAGCTGGAAGGAAGAATATGGAGTTTATGTCTGTGTGACTCAGCTGAGAAGAACCAGATGCAGAAGAGAGAATGGGTACTCACAGGAGCAAAGTCCATGAGTTGGTAAGAAAGGATGGAATCCAGTGCATAGGAGCAGCCACAAAGCCGTATCACCTTCCCCCAATGGAATTTCCAGCAGATTACCAAGGTGCCAAGCTTCCTGATGTTATAAGTGTACCTTTCAACTGAGGTATCTCCAGAAGGCCCACATTTAAATGTAGTCATTTTATACATCTGTGTTGTGTGGGAAATTTTTTTTTAATAGTCATTTTATTAGGAGGGTTAGAAAGCCAAGTTTTTCTAAGCCATTCTTCGAATCCTTATACATTTCTGTTACTGACTTGTACTTGGCATTATGCCCTGGTTTACACTGAGAAAAATTACAGCAAAAGAGTTACACAGCACTTCATTTTCTATTTATTTCAGGAGTGTTGTTTAGAATAACGATCATGAAATCACTCCAAAAGCACCCTTTACAAAGACCCATTAAAAAATGTATCTTAAGTCTCAATGTTAGGAGAAGTTGTGTCCCTTCTATGCAACTAATTTGTTTTACTTTATGGATACTAATACTTGATCATGTTTCCCTGTTTGGCCACTTCAACGTTCAGAATAAATTTGTGAACCTCATAGTTGATCACAAGAGTTAGGGGAAACTGAATGTCTTTCTGTCTCTTTCTCTCTCTCCATCTGTTTTAGGAAATTACCAAGCTGCTGCCTTTCCATAGGATATTTTTGGATCGACTAGAAGAGAATGAAGCCATCGACCAGGACCTGCAGGCTTACATCCTGCACCGGATACACAGCAGCTCAGAGATCCAGAATAACATTTCACTTAATGGCAAAATGGACAATACTACATTTGGCAAACTCAGTTCTCATCTCAAGACCCTCAGTCAAGGGTCCTATCTATACCTGAAACTCACCTTTGACCTCATAGAGAAAGGCTACCTAGTGTTAAAGAGCTCTAGCTACAAAGTAGTTCCTGTTTCGCTCTCAGAGGTTTACTTACTCCAATGCAATATGAAGTTTCCAACCCAGTCTTCCTTTGACCGGGTGATGCCTCTCCTGAATGTGGCAGTGGCCTCTCTCCACCCACTGACTGATGAGCATATCTTCCAGGCCATCAATGCTGGGAGCATTGAAGGCACACTAGAATGGGAGGATTTTCAGCAGAGAATGGAGAACCTCTCCATGTTCCTAATCAAGCGCAGAGACATGACTCGTATGTTTGTACATCCTTCTTTTCGAGAATGGCTTATCTGGAGAGAAGAAGGAGAGAAAACCAAATTTCTCTGTGATCCCAGGTAAGACACCGATCTGTGATAAGCAGTTCTGAGCCTGTTTTCTTTTTATTGCATAGAGTGTGAGTATTGAAAGTAGAGGTGTTCTTCATTGAACATTTCACATAGAAGAGACATCATCTGTGTTTCTTCTCAAGGCAAGGCTATAATGAGGTTAACTAATTTATTGTTTTACAGTGTTATTTCCTTAAGACTCAACATCTGCATAGATATAATGCTACCCTACATTCCTATGTTTTTCTAAATAATTTTCACTGACCCCACAGTGTTCACAGGCTATAATTAAATTAGCCATTTAATGGACTTCCTCAGTATTATTATTTTGATGTGAAGAAAGAATTGATATATTGTTCATCTCTTTGACTTAGAGCAGAATCATTTCAAAATTTTTACTGCCCTTTTAAAATACCTTATCATTATTAAAGTTTCCAATAACTAAATCCATTAAGGTCCAGCCAATGCTAAGCTTTATACTAGAAAATAGAATCTTAAACCTCCTAGCTGAAAAAGATTTGAAGAGTTCAGCTAGTCTATCCATGCTGCCTTTAGATACGTAAGGTGTCATTATCTCCATTTTCCTATAAAGGCCTTAAGATGCTGAATCAACTTGCACAAAGCCATAAAGTTAATACGTGGGAGAAGGGAGAGGGCATGTACCAGAATAGGGATGGCAAGTTCATGATATATCCCGCCACTCCCCCACTCCACACATGCAACAGGGTCACTGATTTACCCCAGCACTGTTTCCCAATGAGCTTCAACCTGAATTGAGAATCTTTCTCAACTCAAACCAGGCTAGATATGAAACTGTTTCCCTTTTTATTTCATGAAACCTAGTTCTCTGGCATCCTGGTGGGGGTCTGCTTTTACTCCTTTGTACTAACATTTTTAAAGCAGTATTCCTTTAATAAAGTTGGTGTTTTCAAAAGCCGGGTATATTACTGACTTCATGGAAACAAAGAAGACACCAACAACATAGCTGGCAAATGCAGAGCTTATTTTGGCTCAAAAAGAAGAGGCCAGATTTGACTATGCCTCACATGTGACTCATCAGAAAGAATAAAACTCTGTGTTCATGCTGGGGTTTTATTGCCCTTCACTGTGTCCTTCACCAGACCTTATTAGAGACAACTGTACTGTGGGCATGCCGCTCAGCCTACTCCATGCCGATTCATCAGAAAATTAGTTCCACATTATGATGAAGATATTAAGCCAGGCAATAGACTCTGTAGTATTTTCCCTGAGAGGGAAGCTTTTTTAAAGAAACATGCTGTAATGGAAGGAACACAGACTCTTGAGTCAAATTACCTGCGTATAAATCCTGCCTCTTCTAAGAACTGTGACCTTTGGAAAAAGTTGCATAGTGTTTCTAAGACTTAGTTGTCTTATCTACATAAGAGCAATAATAATGCCTTTTTTCTAGAGTTGTTGAGAAGTTAAATGAGGTCATATAATATGATGCCTAGAATAGTACAGAGTAAAAGAAGCATTCGGGGTATGTTCTTTTTCCTCCCCTCACCCTGCAGTAATAGACCCTTCTGGTGTAACTTAGTTAAATCCTGTGGCTAATCGGATAGCGACAGCCATCTTCTGCTATTATCATTTTGGAGCACAAGATTTTAAAAAGAAACGATAAAAACAGTCCGAGTCCCTTCTGTGAATTGTATGGTGTTCCCAAAAGGATTTTACTATAAATCCTACTAGAGCTGTTGTCAATATTTAATACACAGAACTGGCAACTACATATATAGGAAAAAGAAACTAATGTAGACTTGCCTAAATGCTTTGAGATCAGTTCCCAGAGAAACTTTGCTAGCTGACCTTAGATCCTGGGACATCTCAGAGGGTTGAAAGCTGAGGTCCAAGGCAACCAGACTACCACTGAATTAGTAGTATCCCTACAACAGATGAAATCCCCAGGGACTCTCAAAGGAGAAAATATGGCTTTTATACAGCCATATCATGACTATACAGGCTTGCCTTCTCAACATTGCCTATTATCTAGGAGTTTTGCAGCAACCAGCTGATGCACTGGGACAAGAAGAGCAGGTACTTCCAGCTTCAAATCCGGTATAGTTCGTTCCCTGGTGACTGAGTAACATGGCTGCTAAGAGATCATCTTATTTCACTTAATGGCAGAGAGTAAAATTGTAAACAGTACCAGGAGTTATCAGAAAAAGCCTTCTTAGATTTCATTTCAGTTGGAATTCAACCCCCTCCCCAGCAAAGGCTGGCACCAACCTTGTTACTAAAGTACTGAAGTATTGATCTCAGTGCTTAAGGCTCCCTAGGTCAATGAGATGGAAATTCACTAAGAATTTAATGCTTTTGGCAAAGCCCAAGCTGGTCTTTCAAAGCAACTGGCTGCACTTGTTTTCCATTTCAGGCAGGTCTGTTTAGCAGGACTCCAGGCAGGGTTTGTCTCTGTGGCCTTCAGCCTCCACTTCTTGCACATTCTTTCCCCTTCTGTTCTCTACTTTCTCTCCAGCTTCTGTCTAAAGCATCTAACGTATTTCAGTAGATCAGAGGAGACCAATTCAGTGCCTCTGAAATCACACCAGGTAAGCCAGTGCCTGATATGTATATCTCTGCAGTGTAAGGAGAGCTTCCAGAGGCAGCACAACATTCTTATCCTTTCTAGTCCATTTTCCTGGGCTTTCAGCACTCAATTGTTCACCCTGAACTTGTTGACCTTATTCGGAAGTTAGATATAGATGCAAATATTCTACTGATGCCAAAAAGTAGTTGATCTTCTCCTGAAATAGGCTACCCAAGGAGGTAGCTTCTGCCTGAGCTGAAAAGAGTCAGTAATTGACAAAAGCTGGAAACAGGAAATAGCAGAGCCAGAGGTTAATGCTACAGCTGAGATTGAGTTTTCGTTATTTTGAATACCAGACTGCTTATTGTCTCAGAATCTGAGCAAGGACTTGACTACCAGAGAGAATGACCTAATGTTACATAGACGTATCATTGTCATAGAAATAAATGAGTAACAAGGTGAGTAGGGTGAGAGAGAGAGAGAGAGTGTGCGTGTGTGTGTGTGTGTGTGTGTGTGTGTGTTTATCAAACTGTAAGCAGAGTATCACTGAAGAATCTTTTAGATTTGCAGTTTAGGTAAAATATGCCCCTTGAAGCAATCACAAACCTTAGAACACACCACCTCATTCTGCTCTCTGTTTCCCGCTGTTCATCACTGTCAGCCTTCTGTCATACCCTGAACTTAATCTGTCCTATGTTTTCATCCCTTGGGCACTGAGATATCAGATTAACTCACTAATTTAATAAGCAAATCCCTGCTATTACACTAATAGTAGAGAGATGGAAAACCTATTTGAGGCAGCTTGTGCATTTAAAATAAGACATTTGAGAGAAGTAGTCATCGGCCTTTGTTAGACAACCTTTTAGTGACTCTGATAGTAGAAATTTATGGCTGATAGAATAGACAGTCGGAGCTACCAGCCTTGTGGTGCTGTCCAGTTACTGCTTAATATTTCTAGATCGCTTTAGGCTCGCCCTGAATAAATCTCCACTCTTTGTTCTGTTTCTGTTCCTCATTATCTCAATTTTTATGGTATCTAGCTTTCCGTTCCATAGGAACAGCTCTCAGATTAATTGTGTGTGTGTGTGTGTGTGTGTGTGTAACATTTTAACAGATTAGAAGACTCTCCTGCCTTATGTGTGTATTTTTGTGGGGTTTGTTTGTTTTATTTTTTTGAGACAGGATCTCACTCAGTCACTCAGGCTGGAGTGCAGTGGCGCAGTCATGGCTCACTGAAGTCTCAACCTCCTGGGTTCTGGCAGTCCTCCTGCCTTAGCCCCCTGTGTAGCTGTGACCACAGGCACATGCCACCATGCCTAATTTTTTTTATTTGTAGAGACAGGATCTTACTATGTTGCCCAGGCTGGTCTCAAACTCAGGTTCAAGCGATCCACCCACATTGTCCTCCCAAAGTGCTGGAATTACAGGGATGAGCCACTGCACCCAGCATTTTTTTTTTTTTCCCCCGAGACAAAGTCTTACCCTGTCACCCAGGCTGGAGTGCAATGATGCGATTTCGGCTCACTGCAACCTCTGCCTCCTGGGTTCAAGCAATTCTCCTGCCTCAGCCTCACTAGTAGCTGGGATATTACAGGTGCCTGCCACCTCACCCAGCTAACTTTTTTGTATTTTTAGTAGAGACGGGGTTTCACCAATTTGGCCAGGCTATTCTCGAACTCCTGACCTCAAGTGATCTGCCCACTTCGGCCTCCCAAAGTGCTAGGATTACAAGCATAAACCACTGTGCCCAGCCCAGCCAGCCTTATTTTTAAATGTTTGAATAAAATACGGGAAGCTCGTTGTGAACTTCATGTAATGAGTATTGAGTTGATACAACCTAATGAGGTTGTGATGTGGGAGCCTAAGGTTGTGATGTGGGAGCCTAATTTGGTTTGACCTGATTTCCTCAAATTAAAGGCAGCAAATCCTGTGATGAATGGAAAGGGAAAAGGCGACATAAATCCTACCTATACCATGGGATAGTTGAGTACTCACTTGATTCTTTACGACCAGAATTGATTGCTTATAATAAGTGGTTTGTTGATATTTTTCCTAATTTATTTGACCATATTAGTAAGTGAATTACACATTGGAGACCTGATGCTCTAAAATCCATTGCCACAAAACAGGGTGTCAGAGAACAAGCAGTTTGTCTGAGGAAAAAGAGAAGACATCCTCCCCAAAGTGGAAAGTAACTGTGCCAGAGGTCTGTATAACAGGGCTTCTTACAGAATAGATGGGGCTGAAATGACTACAGAATGAATGGTGAGTTGAAGTTTGTGTTGATTTTGTTTTTTTGATCCAAATATGAGCCTCCAGGCAGATGACATTTAACCTTACCCTCACTGAAACACAAATTCGAGGTCACTGCTCCTGATAGTCATTGCAGGCTCCCAGAGCAGACCCTTAAACTGGAGGATGGGTTCTGCTTTCTCAAAGCATTAGGAGAGAATTCAGCAAAATG